CCGTAGATATATCTAATGACTAGAATGTTCATATAGGTCGTTTCTACGTTCATAAATGGTCATTTGGTTGAGTTTTGTGTTTGACATGTTTGAAGAACCAAGAATTATAAACCTTGAATTTGATGTTAAAAATATGTTTTAATAATTCTAATATGATCTATGAACCTTGGAGAACATCTCTATATAGTTTAATTGAAGTTCGGTGACTAAAAATGGTTTTCTCGAAAAATGGACCGAGGTTGAAGACGAATGAACAGTGGCTGAAAATCCACAGAGTGGATCGATCCCCTTCATTGGATCGATCCTCTGGGAGTTTTTCTTCTAGTTGGATCGATCTTCCGAAACTCTGGTCCGAAAATTTGTCTGAAATTGCTATTTTTGAGCTCTAAAATCCTATTTTTGATACCAATTGATTATGATTATTATAAAAATGATTTTTCACAACAAAAATGATGTTTTTAACAAATTAAAACATTATGTGATGCATGACGATAAGTTCCGGTGTTAACACTCGAGACTAGACCGCTAATTGTTATTAAATGTTATGTTAAATGTTTATTATGATGAACTATTATTGTGGCCAATTATGAATGATTAACCTACTGATTGGTATGATTAACTCATGATTAAAAATGGATATATTGATGTATATTATTAAGGATATCTAGAAGAACTCTAAGATATACCCACTTGTATAATGATGATGAATATTAAGGATATCTAGAAGAACTCTAAGATATACCTCTTTGACCAATTTATATTTCGGGGTTAAAACGTACGTACGGGATCCAGACCGGATATTACCCACCCGACAGTTCACTGTTCGGTTGGTACGTAATCCACATGACCCATAGGGTGGATTATCGATTCTTGTGTTCTGCATTAAACTATTTATAGTTTAAGGGCCTGGTTAGAAATGTTGCCTTAGACTAGGAATAGCTAAGAGCTTGTTATAAAATGATTTGGCCTTAGATTAAGAATAATTTAAGAGCATGGTTGAGATATTGAATATCAAATGACTTGGAATAAAAAATTGAGAAGATCATGAATGTTTGAATCATATATTGGGTGCATGATATCAAATGGTTGATTATGAATTGAGATTCAATTTATTTGGATGTTCGACGCTTTAGATATGCTTACTCAGCTTCATCGCTGAGCGTGTAGTATGTTTTATTTGCTACACGCAGGTAAACAGAAAGATTAATGTGATCCTGGCGGCGGATGGGGCGAGATTGTCAGGATGAATGTGACAAGTTTTGAAATGATTTATGATATGTCAATATTAAATTCGCTTCCGCAATATTGTTAAATACTCCGTACTGCATATGTTATGAAAAATATTATTGAGATTAATAAAGTGTGTTTGAAAAGTTTTAAATTTTACGATTACCAAGTTAAATACTTTAGTCCGAATGGGGCTGTAGACCTGGACGGATTAGGGTGTTACAGCATTGTAGACATATTATCCAATGACATTCGGGTAAAGATGTACGTACATGGAATTTGGGATATAATTTATGGGATTGGAGGTTTCACCCAACCGGCACTGTAGGTACGAGGTTGACTAGAATCATGATCGTAGGTAGTGGTGACGAGTCATAGACTAGACTTGAGTCATGACCGTAGGTACTGAACTAAGTAGTAAGATCAAATAAGATTATGAACAATGATGAGTTCGCATTAGCTTAGTATAGGTAATGAACAATTGATAATGATGAAATTTGATAATAGCTAGATGTGTGAATTTATTTGATGATGTTATGTGAACTACCTGTGCATAAAATGCTATGAGTAATCATGTATTTTGAATTAATTCTATGTGTGACTTCTATTTTTAGAGTCTCTCACTCATAATGAAAGTTGAGCGTGTAATTTATTTTATTTGCTACACATGGGTAACATAAATAACGAATAAGGTAATAATTCTGAAGGGCAATAAGGATGAGGAGATGGGTGGATGCAAGGTTAAGGAGTTTATTTAGTTAAATATTTTAGTTTGAAGTCATTATGTTTTTGGGCAAGAACCTAAAGTTATGTTGAATTAAGTACTTAAGTTTTTACACCGTTTTATAATTACTCTAATGGATATATAGATAACGTTTTGAATTGTTTTGAACATTATTGCGTTTGGATGTCAATCTAGTAGCAACACAGTTTGCTAACCCCTGTATTTGGGTTATGTAAATTGGGGTGTTACAACTAAGGTTGTGTTTTATTTGCTTAATTTGATTGATTCCGATATAATGTTTTAAGCCGTGCTCTGAATCACAAGGCCCCCTTGTTTAACCCTAACATACCCGCTAACAGGTTGCTTGTCGAGTAACGTGTCTCTCGAAACTGTTACGACACTACAATTGGTTGGAGGGGAGATCACGAATCGTATGGTATGAGTTTGTTGGGAGGTGTGTTGGGTACGAAACCCACATTTCACATCATATGAGAAAGAAAGGAGATTGAAGCACGTTGGGAGGTGGTAAAAAACAAATCGTGATGACTTGACTTAAAGCAAATAATATCATACACGCGATCCCAACACTCCCATTATAGTCTATTTAATCTTTCTTCTTTTTCTTTCTTATATTCCACTCTCTAACAGTACAATCAATTGTTTTTCTTTGTCACCAGTGGAGAAGAAGAAACTATATCAAGGAAAGGAGGAGAGGCGAATCGAGTGGCAAGTCGTGAGCCACCCTAAAAGAAGCATGTTTTTTCTTAAAATTTTTTTTAAGTAGAAATAACTTTATGATGAATAGAAAACTAAAATAATGTTTAATACTCCAAAATGTGACAAAAAATATAAACAAGGACAAAAGCAACAATTTATTGTTACACAACACACTACTCCACTCACTTACTAGTATATGATTGAAATGTTTTTAATCGATTAAATGTAATATATCGGTGTACTTACTTCATATCTTGTAAATTAATCTTTACAAATTTCAAAATAAATTCCTCATTATTCAAAAGAATTGGAATAAATTATCTATATGAAATTTCTCTCATCTTTATAAATTTTAAGAAAATAATTTTACTTTTTTTTAAATTACACTTGAAATTTAGAAGATTAAATTGGGAGGAATGCTTGAATCCAAGACTTTTACCATTGTTCACAGCCTTAATTAACGCGCTTACAATTTCGTTCTCCGATTAAAGACGTGCGACTGTCAGGCACCTCCTAGCTTTTCTTCCCCATGCTTTTTTTTTTTTTACATAAAATATTTTTCCGGCTCGTTTTTTTTTAATATCCCTACTGCGAAAAAAAATATCCCCACTACGATCCCCTCTTGAATTCTCAATTCCACCGACACTATCGGGCTTTTCTTATTCCCCACTATACTTCAGATCTTCACCGACAGGTATTCCGGTTCAGGATTCATAAGTCGGATCTGGTTTGATTGCTATACTTCGTATTGCTTCTTCTCAGGTTGATTTGTTTTCTTTTGAATGTAAGCTCACATGATTTGCTTAATTAAGCTTGCCGATCTGCACTGCTGGTTTTGTTTACGGATGCCTAAATCTCATGTCGTATTTAGTTTCCCCATTGGTTAATGGAAGTTGTTTTTTTTATCCCTTTTTTTGGGGTGATTTGTGGTCAAATTGATTTGAATGCTGTACAATTACTAAAAGATCATAGAATGACCTTTTCTTTCCTCCAGGGTGGGAGGAGGGTTGGTATATGAGTTTCTGTTTGGTTTGGGTGTTGCTTTGGGTTCACGTTGAGCATCTATGTGGAACCTAGAATGGTCTGCACTCTGCTGGCATGATTGTAAATATATTCACTCCAGATTATGGTCCAAGTTGGTAATATAGATGTTCATTAAGTTATATGGATTATCGAATATGCTATTTTGAATGTGTTTATCACTTATCCTATTGTGTGGAGTGGCTTTGGGATAGTAATGTGATTCGAATGTATGAATTTAACTGTATGATTTTGTCCTTTTTTTCAAAGTATTCATTGGTGATTTTTGTATTGTTTATTAATCGTAAAACAATCTTGTTTCTTACTCTCTTAGTGGATACCGAATGTTTTAATTAATTGCAATTAGCATTTAAAAAGCTCGAGAAAAACCTGATTTTATTGATGGTGACATTAGCAATGATCTTAGTTAATGATTTTCTTTTACTATTTATAATTCTCTAGTTGTTCTAATGGCTAACATTTGACCCAGCAGGTTTTTCATTTGTGAAAAAGACGAACAGTCAATAGTTTCAAAATTATCAATCAAGAAGGATTTCGTGAGTAAGCTCATCTAGTATTCTAGTAATGAGACTGTTTGAGTATCTGTAAGAACAGGAGGCAAAGGGTGAAGCTTTTGTTGTGGATACTAAAGCAAACCTAATTAAAAGATGAGAGGGAGATCCGAAGGAGGGCAGAAAAAGCGGTTGCTACCTTGTGTAGCTGTTATTGGGATTTTCCTTGTTTTCCTTTATGTGTTCTTTGGCTCTAAGAGCAGTGGTGAATCTGCTCTAGAGTATGGCAGCCGGTCTTTGAGGAAACTAGGGTCTTCTTACTTGGGTGGAGATGATGAAGGTGATACAAAGCAAGATGAAAAATTTGGGCTGGATGATGGAAATGATGGTTTTTTTCTGAAAAGCTTTCCTGTAAGCCATCCAAACTAATACGGAGTATATATATATAATAAAGAAACACGAAATACCACAGCGTCTGGTGTGTAGTTGTATGTTGTGATCAATTTTTATAAGTTCCATCCATTTTTTTGGCCTTTAAGGTTTGTGATGATCGGCATTCAGAACTAATTCCCTGTCTAGACAGACATCTCATATACCAAATGAGATTGAAGTTGGACTTGTCATTGATGGAGCACTATGAAAGACACTGTCCTCCACCAGAAAGACGGTTCAATTGCATGATTTCTCCCCCTCCTGGATACAAGGTTAGAGATTGTTCAAACATAGTAGCAAAAGAGTATTGGTAAATACTCATTCCATAACTCTTCATAAATGTCATTATGTAAGTCATCTTTTTATCATTCGGTACTATAATAGGTACCTATTAAGTGGCCTAAGAGTAGAGATGAGGTCTGGAAAGCAAACATACCACATACCCACCTTGCTCATGAGAAATCAGATCAGAATTGGATGGTTGTCAAGGGTGAAAAGATTATATTTCCAGGAGGAGGCACTCATTTCCACTATGGGGCAGACAAATACATTGCTTCAATTGCAAATGTAAGTGGTCTTGAACCTCTGTTCAGGGCAAATGTTTTCAATCAGAAGCAAATTAAACATTGTTCAAATGTTGACTGCTTTACATGTGGTGGCACAATATGCAGATGTTGAACTTTTCGAATAATGTCTTGAACAATGAGGGGAATGTACGCACAGTTCTTGATGTGGGTTGTGGTGTTGCTAGCTTTGGAGGCTATCTTCTTTCATCTGATATAATTGCAATGTCCTTGGCACCAAATGATGTGCATCAGAATCAGATCCAGTTTGCCTTAGAAAGAGGAATTCCTGCATATCTTGGTGTTCTTGGAACAAAGAGACTACCTTATCCAAGCCGTTCATTTGAGTTTGCGCATTGTTCTCGTTGTAGGATTGACTGGCTGCAAAGGGATGGGATCCTTCTTCTCGAGTTAGATAGAGTTCTTAGACCCGGAGGATATTTTGCCTACTCGTCTCCCGAAGCATATGCACAGGATGAAGATGATCTTAGAATATGGAGACAAATGAGTGCACTTGTCGAACGTATGTGCTGGAAGATAGCTGAAAAAAGGAACCAAACGGTCATTTGGGTTAAACCTCTAACTAATGACTGTTACAAAGAAAGAGAACCAAATACTCAGCCACCTCTCTGTCGGTCTGATGATGATCCAGATGCAGTGTGGGGTGTTCCAATGGAGGCATGCATAACACCTTATTCTGATCGTAAGTATATATTATTTTCTTATTTGCTTTAAAAGATGTTATTGGGAGTCATTTTGTATTCGAAGAGTATTAACATTTACAAGCTTGGACATGTTTTTCAATGGATGGAAATATAAAGACTCATCTGTCAAGTGTCAACATGTGGTTTATTCTTCAGTGAATACTAGAACGTTGCCCCAGCATTTATCCCATTTCTCTCTTTTGTTTTTTTTTTGTTTGCACTCAATGGTGATTCTTGATTTCCTTGCATTTTAATTTTTGCCAACAGCTCCCCCCTTTCTTTGTTTTGCTTGTTGGCGTGCACTTCTCCAATCTGTCTTTCCTTAGAGGTTATAAATCATATGAATGCGGATCATATTCAATCACTTTAGCTGCTTATTTTCTTTTCTTTTTTTTTGCATCAGATGACCACAAAACCAAGGGAAGTGGATTGGCACCTTGGCCAGCTCGATTGACCACACCTCCTCCTCGACTTGCTGATTTTGGATATTCAAATGAAATGTTCCAAAAGGATATGGTAATCTTTACTTCTCGTCCGTATGTGGACTACTCATAAACATTTCCAATTACAAGAAAATTGAGCTGTGCTTCTTACAAGAAAATTGAGCTGTGCTTCTTGCGGCTTCTTCTGAACAGGAACTGTGGCGCCGGAGAGTTGATGGTTACTTCAGGATTCTGAGTCCCAAAATTTCATCAGACACCATAAGGAATATTATGGACATGAAGGCAAACTTGGGTTCGTTTGCAGCTGCTCTCAAGGACAAGGATGTATGGGTAATGAATGTTGTACCCGAAGATGGACCCAACACACTCAAAATCGTATATGACCGAGGCCTCATCGGCACAATTCACAATTGGTATGTTGATCAAGTGGCATTTTTTAAAATAATCTTCGGCAAGATAGGTTGAAGTACATTTGTATTTTTCTCTGTGTCCAGGTGTGAAGCCTTTTCCACGTATCCTAGAACCTACGATTTGCTCCATGCATGGACTGTATTTTCTGACCTTGAGAGGAAAGGTTGTAGCGGCGAGGATCTGTTGCTTGAGATGGATCGCATCCTAAGGCCAACCGGTTTCGTTATCATCCACGATAAACAGCACGTCATTGACTTTGTCAAGAAGTATCTGCAAGCACTGCACTGGGAAGCTGTTGGCAAGTCAACTTCAGATCCGGATTCAGAAGGAGATGATGTCGTGTTCGTCGTTCAAAAGAAGCTATGGCTCACAAGTGAAAGCATCAGAACTACAGATTAGAAATTTCATCTTAATCTTTTCCCCAACTCATTTTTTCTTTTCTTTTCTTTTCTAAATCCTACCTTCTGGAGTTTAAGCGTGCTTCAACTCCAGGAGAGAGATATCATTTATGTTTGGCTCCCTACGTTGTCTATTTCTCAGTTTATTTTTTACCCATCTCTTTTTAAACTCAGATTCCCATTTTACTCTCATGTTTTGGTCAAGTGATAACACGAATCTTACAGACAAGTTTCATTTTGTGAAGCCATTAATTGATCTCTGGGTTTTTTTTATACAGTCAAGTAGTGTCTTTTTGTCATTGTGCTTGCTCTTTGTATAGGTTTTGCATCTTCTTGGTACACCATTGTATATTTGTCTCTACGCTGGTGGGCCCAAAAGAACGAGCTTTGTTCAATAATAAAAAACCTTACTCTTATTTCTCTTAATTCTTAATTGCCAAGATTCTTAACATTACTCCTATATACTCCTTCGTCCACATAAACTTCTTATTGCGCGTTATGATGTTTAATTAAGGTTATTTTTAAATCATTTTATATAAAAAATGGTGTAAAATTTAAAAATAAAAATTACATATTAAAAAATTATATCAAAAGATCTGCAAAACTAGAGGTGATATGACTATATTATTTTATCAAATGAGTGATAAAAAAGGCTAATAAAGTGAATAAAATTTGATTCTGTGAATAGTGAACGTGAGGTTTATTTGTGGACAAAAGGAGTATTTATTTTAGTACATTTCATAAATGGTTATTCATAACAAGTGGTTTTTCATATATTATCTTTAATTTTAAGATATTACGGAGTAAGATTGTGGTCCTCTATATTTAAAAATTACTTTATAATCAATTTCTTGACTCAAGTATTCTTTTACATATAGTTCTAAAGAATTTGTTGTGCTATAGTTTTCAAATATTGCGGTTATGATTTTAATATCTTCAAATTGAAAACTATATATGGAAAACTCTTTCTTTGAAAAAAATATTTGTTTCACGGCACAAACTCACACAGTAATCCTCTGACAGCAGCATCCAAACTTTTACTCACCATTTGAGCTGCATATATACATTCCCTCTGTTCCATAATGGATTATAAATTGTGTAAAATAAAGAAAAATCTTAAGTTTTTTTTCAAATTATTCCATTTAAAAACTAGTATATAAATAAAAAATAAAAGTCACATATTTAAAACTCATATATACGGAGTGCTGCTATAGTTTTTTTAGAAAACATTTACGGAGCAATATAGGTAGCGAGTAGTAATTACCAAAAGTTTCTTTCTACACTTATATTTTTTATATACAGTACCTTTTTTTATTTTATAAATTATCCTCTTTCCTACATGTCTTTCTTTTTTCTTCTACAATAGTGAAATTATTGTGCCGTTCATGATGTAGCAAGACTCGATTTGATAAGTTTAAGGGGAGGGTGTTATTAGCAATCTATTAAAAAGAAAATTGATATCATTATTTTTGGTTAAATTGTAGTGGCATTATTTTCCAATAATATTTTTTGATAACTAATAATAATAATAATAGAATCAATTCATTGAATATTAGACTAAATTAAATAAAGAAACTAAAGTTACTGAACCTAAACATTTAATTATGATGTTACTTATTCGCACAAATTTGTTTGAATGTATGTAAATGTTTTGCTACTCTATGAATTGATTGTGACGTTAGATATATTCTATTATTCTCACACAGTTTTCAATTAAGCGTGTGGTCTTTGACTATATGCAGATACTCCGTATTTGGTTTGGGTACTCCTAGAGGGTAGGGAGACAGAAAGGAATGTGTGTTAGATAATGCGTGCAACTCTAGAGAGGGGTGAATAGAGTTGTTGACAATGTTACCGATTTTCGCAGGATTAAAAATATAAACGTAAGTGCAGCGAAAATAAAAGAGAGAAGACAAAGAACACACCGATGTATACTGGTTCACCACCTCGTCGCTAGTCCAGTTCCCCGAGAGACTCTTTCGAAGCTACCACTACTTCCGTTAAGCTTACAGGTGCTTAACAAACCGTTTACAACTCGAGAACTTGAATCACACAAGCCTCGACACAACCGCTCGTAGATATGCCCTCTACAGGACTTCACAATCAAGACTTAAGTCACATAAGTCTTGTGCACCAAGAAGAACAATCTTCTTCAACCTCTCAACATAAACTCTCACAAGAGTAGAAATGAGAAATGATTTAATCTCTAATGGATGACAAGAACACTCTCTTGAAAAATAATTAGTTTTCTCTCAAAATATATAAATTTGAGGAAGAATTGAATGGAGAATTATAACCTCAAGATTGAGGAGTTTTGGAGTGCTTGTTCATTTGTAAAAATGACAGAAATGAAGTTTATAAAGGGGTTGAAGGAATATGTCCGTTGAAGCTAAGAAAAAATAGTTTGCTGAAAAAATGCAACATAAAAATCGATTAATGCACCATGGTAATCGATTAATGCAGTCTGTGCAAAAATCCTTCAGCGGACGAAATGATAATCGATTTTTGCCAAATTGTAAAAATCGATTTTTGAAGCAATTATGCCCAAACAAGAAGGACACAACCATGTGTGCGGGGTGAAGTGCTAATTTGAAAAATAGCACTTGTTTAGGACATAAAAATCAAATCAATAGGCTCCCCAATCAACAAATATAATTCAAATTCAAATTTGAATTATGAGACTGCATTTTTGGTGTAGAAAATGAGTCCCAAAAATATTTTGTGTGTCAAACGATGAACATGAAAATATTTGAATAAAATATTTTTGCTTTCCAAAAATATTTTCTAATATCAAAATAAATATTTTGATAAATGTTTGACACACCTTTTGTAACTGACTCAATAAATGTATTTTGAACAGTTAAAAAGGATTTTTCAACTGACCCCAAAAATATACTCCCTCCGTCCCACTGTTTTTGTCAACTTACTTTTTGGCACACCATCCAATGCACTTCTTTAATCCATTTTATCTTGTAATTTATATATTAAAAAATTATAGAAATTATATATTAATAATCTATATGTTAAGACAAATCAAACAAGATCACACATAACCATATTTAGGCTTACACATTGAGAGAATTTGATGAGTCAAAGTTCTTAGATGAACAGTTCCAAAAATCAAAAGTGGACAGAGACAATGGGACGGAGGTAGTATTATTTTTATATTAACTCTTATAAAAATAATATTTGGAGAGAAGATATTTTTGTCATCCTTACAATAATTCCTAAGACTCGAATAAAAAAAAGTCTTCGGAAATTCTTCTACTCCTCCGAGTCCTCCGTTAGGCGCTCCGAACGCGTCTGGGACTCCAATAAAATCATGTGCACCTTCTTGAATACTTCAAGGAATGACACTTCAAGTCTTCGTGTTTGTCATTGTAGCACTTTGATCTTGACTTAAAAAAATTGTGTTTGTCAATTATCAAAACCTGTGAGTCAACACTTAACAACACAGAAAGGGTTGAACTCATGCATTCCAACAATGTCTGGATGCATATCGGTTTAAAATGTTTATGTTTCAACTATTTTTCGGATATGGTATATTTTATTAAGCTTCTCCACCATTTTAAATTAACTTCATTTGATAATCGAATTGATTTAAAATATTCTTTTTTTGATTAGATGTTTTATTTACATGATTTTGAATTCTTTGAAAAATAAAGTATGTGGATACCAATTTAGTAACAACCTAGTTTGCTAATATGTTTGTTCGGATTACGCAGGTTAGAGTCTTATATAAATTGACCAACTATACTGAAATCCAAATTAAGATGTGTACCAAAATGTGAAAGTGTCTTGGCACAGAAAGTACCCCAAGCTTCTCCACATCTAGTGTTCAATCTATATCCTTGTGCTTAATAAGTTGAGATTATAAACTTAAACAGACACTACACTGATAGATCTCAGATTAACCTAAGTTTCTCAACAACAACAATGTCTTATCCTAGTAAGTGGGGTCGACTATATGGATCAAAGACGCCATTGCGCCGCATCATGTATCATATCTGCTCTGATATCATTCATGTGAAGGTCCTCCTTGACCACTTCTTGCCAAGTCTTCTTGGGTTTATCTCTTCCTCTAGCCTCATGTCCATTCACTCACATCGCCATCTATCAAGATTATCACAGGGTATAAGAGGATTCTTAAAATTTTTCTTCGTCAATTTCGTAATTCATTCAATTTTTTCTTAAGATTTCTTCAATTTGAGATCTTAATTGAGAACTCTGACTTTGTTGTTTGAAATGAGATTTTGATTTCTATGGCGGTGGAGGTGACAATGGAGGTAGTGGTGGTGATGAATGTGTGCCAGTGATGGTTGTGATAGTACTGGTAATGATGGTAGTGTGGTGGTTACAATTAAAGCGTAGCAACGAGGGTTGCATTGTGGCGCTGGTAGTGACAATGGGGCGGCTAAGTAGGTAGTGTGGTGATAGTGGCCGTGTGACTGGGTGGTGGTGATCGTGACGGCAGTGTGGTAATGACAATGATATTTTGGTGGGATAACGACTGTGAGGTGATAGAGTAGGAAGTTTGGTGGAAGGTGGCAGTGTGGTGGTGGTGATGATGATAGTGTGGTGGTGGGACAACCATTGTGATGGCGGATAAGTTTAGTGCAGCAGGGACATTGATGTTGTTCATAGTAGTGTGACAACGGCGAACATGGTGATGATGGTAGTGTACCGGGGGTGGCATTGGTAGTGACAACGAGGTGGTGATGGTGGCAATGATGACAATGCGTAGGTGAGAGGAGGCAGTGTGGTAGTGCAGGGAGATCATGTGAAGGTTGTGGAATGTGGCGGCGAAGGGTGGCATTGTGGCGGGGGAGGGAGATATTGTTGGTAGCAGAGGGAGGTAGTGTGGCAGCAAGGGAAGACAATAACCCAAATTAATATAATATTAGAAATAAATAAAAAATGGTAGAATAAATGTATTAATACCACGCTGGATACTCATATTGATATCAAAAATCTCATAACAGTGCTAGATAGGTAATTTTAGAGCCTGCTTGGAAATAGCTGAAAATTGTAAATGCAGTAGGAAAGCAAAAAATGAAATAAAGGTCCAAAATAACAAAAGTGCAATTTTAATGGGCGAAGCGATAGGATACGGGGTTGAAGATGACCCCCTATGGGTCTTGGACTTGCTTGCCCTCCCCGTTAGCCTCTCAGCGCGTTGATCGCTTTGTGTGGCTACCCAACACACTATATATGGATGCTCTACAAAATCCTTTGTGATCGCTCAACGGTGTTTAAAAAGAACCAAGCACATGATTTACAAAAAGAACAAAAAGGGGTGCAATACAAGTTTCCCATGGGGTCACCTATCTTGGTACTACTTTCGCCCAAAACACTAACAATATTACTTTGAAAACGCTAACGCTGCCCGTAGATAGCCTTTTCAAAATGTTAACGCTAATCTCTAACGCTGTTTCCAAACAGAGCTTAACTACATTATAATGCTATAGGGGGAAATATTCTCTTGACTTTTCATTGTCTGTAATACAACACTTCGACCATTAATATCTTTATCTTTATATAAATGTATATTATACAAATGTAGAGTAATATATTTCAAAACTATGTTTTAAAATGAATCTATTCATAATAGATTTATATAAAAATTCAATGTATTTTTTCATAATATATTTGGCTGTAAAATCCAAACAATGAAGTTAATTTTAAAATAGAGAGAATAACTACATTTAAATCAAATTAGAGATTTTAGAATGCCTACATGAGTGTAATTTTTAGGACTTGGCGGATAGCCAACATGAAGCTCCAGTCTTGACTTCCAAACATGCCCTGCAACTTTAAACACCAAAAAAGAATTCTGCAAAACCCAATACTTAGTGGCTGTAGCTATCTGCGCCAAACAAAAAGAGACGTTTTTGTGTGTTTCTGCTTTCTGGTGAGTTGATGCCATCACAGCACAACACTACTACGTGTTCCCTCCTGCCAGCGAAAAAAAAAACACGCTTATTGTCTTCTTCTGGTTTTCTTTCCTCTGAAATTTCATGACTTTTGCGAGATTGTTAGCTGCCGCCGATTCGATTGGTTGAAGTCAAAAGGCGGCTGAATTCAGGTACTAAGGGTCTACCTTCGTTTTGCAGCTTGGGGTTTTAATTGGAATTGAATGAATGATTGATTGATACTGGAAATGAAGTTTTGATTTTTTGCTTCTTTGTGTATTGTATTTTGCTTTTGCTTCTTCTAATTGGATCGGCCGATGCATGAAGTTGTGCTGTTAAAGCTTGGGGTTTTCGTCTATTTGTTCTATTTGATTAGGTTTTGGATCGGTCGGTGCATGAATTTCAAGCTTGATTTTTTTCCCCTCTTGTTTATTTGTTCCATTTTTTTTAATGAATGGTGAGGTTTTTTTTTCTTTCCTTTTTTTTGGTTGTGCTTTAAGCTTACCCTATGGTGTAGCATCTCGTTGAAAATTGTGTTATGACTAAGTCCTTTGTGCAGTGCTTAAAACCATATGACCATTTCTTGAATGCGATTTTATATGCATTTTGTGTAATAGCCTCATTAATTCTCTGTGCTATCTTCAATGTTTTTTTAAATTTTAATACGGAGTACATTTTTGTTATTTCATTAAATAAATATTTCTGGGTCATCCAGTTTCTTAGCTTCCACCTTTTCACCTGTTAAGAAATTTGTACTGCTAGGTTGAATATCTTTAAAAGAAATCAATTCTTTCCCCATTGCAGATATTCTGTCTTTGTGTGGCCATTGAAAATTTAATTGATGCCGGACGATCTAGTTGGTGCCTGGGACACATTGTGTATTTGTGTGGACAAAAAAGAAATATTGGGTTTCATAGGTTTGTAGCCATAGGGGCTTGGGAGTTAGTGAGTTACAGTTCTGTAAAAGTAAGATTTTGATATAGTGTGAGCTGTGGGGGATGGAGGCTACCAGACGTTGGTTTAGTAAGTTCAGTCCTAGAGAAAAGCATAAGCCTCACAAGAAGGAAACTACTAGTACTGGGGATGAAGCGTCGAAATCTCCCACAAGTGAGGCAACACCTTCAAATGCCACACAGCAAAAGGTAGCCGCTGCTAAACAGTATATAGAAAATCATTACAAAGAACAAATGAAGAGCCTGCAGGATCGTAGGGAGCGGTAAGATACTTTCATTCATTTATCCCCCCCTGCCTATCTTCTCTGATGGTTTTTTTTAATTTAAAACATTTAGCTCTCTTATACACTTGACTCGATAACTGCTTCACATTTCTTTCCTAATTCCGATTTCTAACTTGCAAATGTATAAAATGTGAAACTTAGTCATGCTTCTTGTTATAAATGCTACTTGCAGAATTTTCAGCATTTAAATGACTTTGGATCAATTCTTTGCAATTACTATACTTTCATGCAGCTCAAATAAGAACATCACAATGACAATGATGATTATGATTTACATTGATTTTCCGATGTAGTGTTCCTACACTTTACATAGAGTGCTAGAGATGTAGAAATGTCAGGTCACTGAATACATGGAAAAATGAGGATGCATTCCATGATATTTCTGAAACACCATTGGAATTTAGTTGCATGATAAATTTGCAGGTTCCATTCTTTTAAGAGCATTAAGAGCGAAACTGATGTGTAGTTGTTTGTGCTTTTTTTTGTAGCCGTAACATGTTGGAAAAGAAACTTGCTGACGCTCAGGTTTCTGAGGAAGAGCAAAACAACCTCCTGAAGTACCTTGAAAAGAAAGAGAGAGAATTCATGCGCCGTCAAAGGCATAAAATGGGTTCTGAGGATTTCGAGCCATTGACAATGATAGGAAAGGGAGCATTCGGTGAGGTATGATTCTCACTTAAAGTTCCTTACCGCACTCAGAATTTGAAGTGTGTCTGATCTCTGATTACTCAATAAGTTGATCATATTCGTAAAAAATGATGTAACAGGTTCTTTGACGTTCTTATGTATCTTTTTAAGTGCTAACTTATCAATTTTTGTAAACCGTGCAGAGTTTTATGCTTTAACCACTCACTTGCTAAGCTTTGTAGAAACCATGAACCATTTGTTTTTGCTGATTATATATGTCAAAATCTTTTTACAACTGTTAACTATGTATCATTGTTTTTCCTTTTATTTTTAAAGTGTGCTCATGATGCCTTACTATGTAAAGGCTCAATTTATGGGCTGATTTTCTGCGAATTTTGATTACTCCCTCCGTCCCAATACCTTTGTCCCATTTTTTCTTTTCTTTTCCCCAAAATGTTTGTTCCAGACCATATTTGGCCATATTTCTGTGGCTCAAAAGCATCCATTCTTCACAAAGTCAATATATGAATCACACAATTCCATTTTTCATTAATTTGTATGCCACTTTCCCATTTCCCGAACATAGTGGGACAGAGGGAGTAGATTAATACACAGTAGCATGACTAAAAAAACCAACAAATGTCTGCCTGTGGTGTGTGTATTCATGAGTTAATGCACCTTTCTTAGGTTGTAGTATTTTGGGTGAACTTGTTACATACTCCGTATTTAAAAAGTGAAAGTCGCATCAAAGTGATATTGTTTAGCTTAGCTTTAAAGCACAAACTGAAGCTTTACTTAAAAAAAATACAAAAAGCTACACGGTAAAGCAAAATTAAGATTAACAATATGAATGTACCAATCACTGTCGCAATCCATGAAATAAAAATGAAGTGAGGTCTTTTAGTAAGAATAGCACCCGTCAAATGTCAACTAACTACAATTAAGTTACAACCAAACCTAATCATTACACTGCACAATAAGCACTCTAGTAAAGGTGATATTGCACCTGTTTCACTGCCCAACCAAACCAATTAGCCATATCCTTTCTAAACTCCACCAAAATGTCTCAAATGCTTTACAACCCCTAACAAAATTCTAAGGCTATTTTTCTATAATGAAGCATGGGCATAAGACCAATCAAAAAATGAAAAAAAGAAGCAATAAAACATTTAGAAAAATATAATAATGCTCAAATTTCATTTAAATGATGCTGTCAAAACAGGTGTATGAAGTTAATTGTTTTACATACAATATTGAATACTAAAGTGGCTGCTAATTAGTGATTAGAAATTTAGTGGGCTTTGCACACTAGCCACTTCATTAGGTCACTGCATGTGCTTACCCACTGCCAACTATTGAACCTTGTCTTGCCAATGATCATGCTCAATTTAAGCATACACTGTAAAATGGTCATTGTTTAGTTGTTAGTAATGAAATTAATTCTTGAAACATTGCCATCGTGATAAGTCATAGTTGTTTCTAATGTTCTACTCTATATGTTTGACCCATATAAAATGACACACATCCTTTGACTGTTTTTCTTCAGGTTAGAATATGCAAGGAGAAAGCAACTGGCCATGTATATGCCATGAAAAAGCTTAAGAAATCAGAGATGCTTCGGAGAGGCCAGGTACATATTTACTTGCAGATGGGTAAGTTGAGTTTTGGTTCATTACATGCTTAATTGTTCTGCTTATTCCCTTCTCATGTGCTAGGTTGAGCATGTCAAAGCAGAAAGGAATCTTCTTGCAGAAGTTGATAGCAATTGCATTGTCAAGCTGTACTGCTCTTTCCAGGATGAGGAATATCTCTATCTAATAATGGAATATCTTCCTGGTGGAGACATGATGACATTGTTGATGCGAAAGGATACCTTAACCGAAGATGAGGCGAGGTTCTATGTGGGTGAAACAGTCCTTGCTATAGAATCTATCCATAAACATAACTATATTCATAGGTCAATGCAAAGTTCTTCCTATATTATCTGATGGGATTTCTTAATCATATTACTGTATTGCCCTTCATTCTGTGGTTAAGGAGGAAATATCATTGCGTATTTTTTCTTTTCAAAATTTACAGGGATATAAAACCTGACAACTTGCTTCTTGATAGAAGTGGGCACATGAAATTGTCTGATTTTGGACTATGTAAACCACTAGACTGCAGCAATCTTCACGAAAAGGATTTTGCAGCAGGAAATAATTATAGTGGTATTTTAGAAAGTGATGGGCGCCCTATAGTTCGAAAACGCACTCAACAGGAGCAACTGCAGCATTGGCAGAAGAACAGGAGAATGCTTGTGAGCTCCCTCAACATGATTTTCACTCTTGTTACCAAAAAATAGAGGGGGCTAAACTGCTAAAGTAACACTTGCTTAGCTTCTGCATCATTTTCCACATAATTATTCACATGAGTACTCCCTTCGTTCGTCATAGATCTTCTCAAGTTGATTTTTTGTAGTTCTTAAGGAGAGTTAAAAAAGTGGAAGTTTACTGAAATACCATTAATGTAGTTGTGGTATGTTAAATGTTAAAAATGGTAATGGGAAGATCTTTTCCGGACAAAAAAATGGGCATTTTACGGACGGAGGGAGTAATAGATTTGTGGGTATATTGTGATTGATGCTCCCCAAGGCTTTGGGCTTTTTTTAACACCCTCTTTAGTTGGGACTATCAATGAGTACATCTCAGTTGGTTACGAAGTGTTTTAATTATAATGAAACCTGAGTTCCACAGTTCCACTACCATTAGCACATCATTAGTGAGTTTATTTTTTTTTCCGATTTTCAGTGGGTAGGGGATGCCAATGGAGCTAAATTAGTTAATTTTGATAACGTTTTAGCTGTGGTAAATAATAAACTAAATAAACACGGCACATTAAACTCCATTGCTTTTTTACTCTATGAGAAATTTTGGGCAGTAAATGCATCAAGGGTATAACAAAAACAGTTTCTGTCTGGTAAGATTGCATATCAGTTGACCCCCGAATCCCAATGGAGTAAGGATTTTATTGGGTTTGTTGTTGTGGTGGTGGTGGGGGGTAAGGGATGAAAGCGTGATATTTTTAGATTTAAATGTTTTTCATCACTGCAAAATTAAACTCCCTTCGTCCCAAGATGAAGTTCACACTTTCCATTTTGGGCTGTCCCAAAATAAAGTTTATACTCCGTATTTCCTTACATTCCTATTAAGGAAAGGAATTCGTTGCTCCCAATATTTTTCTCTTTTCTAACCAAATTTCAACTACACAATTTTTTTTATTACTTTTCAATACTTTCCTTTAACACTATGAACTATGAAGTCAAGTCCTAAAGTTCACATTAGGATGGAGGGGAAATTTTTGTTTTTCATCCCTAATGTTTCACAATTTGCATTCTTTTCTTTTTCTCTCTCCCAAGTCTCAAATCTCTGTCAGCATCTGTTTAATAGAAATTGGGCTGGCTCATAGAAGTCAGCTCCACTCTGACCTTTTCATGTCAAATTTAGTGGGGTTATTCCCAAGCGTAGTTCATCATTTTTTTTCAAATTACATCTCTGTAGCTCTTTTTAACTTAAATATCACGTACTGTATTTATAAAAAATATGTGGAGAAGTAAGGTTGAAGTTCTGGTAGCCACAGTCTTTTTTTGAATTGGGTTTGACTGAGAGTTGGAGGGAGACTAAAAACAAAACAATGTAAATTGCCGAGATGAAAACAGAACTGTAATTTTCGAGGGACCTAAAACAAAAAATGTTAAATTTGTAGGAACTAAAAGCATATTTGAGTCTTATTTTATTGCTTTTGTTAGTCAGTAGGATTATGTGGTAATCTATCAAAGTATTTCATCATGCAGGCTTATTCAACTGTTGGCACACCTGATTATATTGCACCAGAGGTTTTATTAAGGAAGGGATATGGAATGGAATGTGACTGGTTTGTATCTGTGACCTTTAGATACCATAAAGAAAATGTTTACATTGCTTCTGAATTAGAATATTTCAAATATTGTGTGATGTTTTGGAACACAAATTTTCAGGTGGTCACTTGGTGCTATCATGTATGAAATGCTTGTGGGGTATCCACCTTTCTATTCAGATGAACCAATGTCTACATGTAGAAAGGTAATGTATATTGTCATGTGAGCATTAGTGGCATATAAAAGTTGGCTGCTACCCATTCCTATAAGTATGCTATATTCTTAATTTCTTACACATTGATGATGGTGAAAACTACTTTCTCATTGTCATGGTTCATGGTTGCATTTCTTTCCTTCTGTTCAAATCATGCCAGTTTGCCTTTTCTTCTTATGGATTATTGGATTTTGGAATTAAACAAATCTATATCTATATTTTTTTTGGAAAGGCTTGGTTCTTCTGACACCGGCACTCGGTGTCATTATTTTGTGTTCAATCTTATGGAAATGAAGAAAAGAGAAGACAGAGTAATTCCCCCCCACCCCCACATAATGTCGCAATCTTTCGGTAGTGGGCTTTCCATGGTGGGTGTTCGGCAGTGGACCATTGGTTTTGTGCTTCGTCCTGCTAGCACATGGGAGTTACTTGATATTCCCTTTCTTCCATATTGCTAGTGCAGAGGGTAGGGCTGGATTCTATTGAGACATCAACATTCACCATCTGTTTCTGTTAAATGACTTAAATCCCATAATCCACATGATGTTTTTTTTCCTCACTGCAATAATGGAAATCCCAAGAAATCCGTAGAGGTGCACATAGGAATACTTTGGGTGAAGTCGACCATCAGTGGCTGCATAGGCTGTGGCTTTGTTGAAATTGTTGCAAATGCAGCTACAACTCACTTTATATTGTTAAAGGCAGTATCTTGAGCATGTTTCCTTTTATGATGATATGAACTTCCCCAACACGCTTCAATGCGTATTTTGTAAACTGTGTCGAGTTTGTTCTTGCAGATAGTAAACTGGCGTACACATTTGAAATTTCCCGAGGAGGCAAAACTGTCATGTGAAGCAAAGGATCTTATTTGCAAACTCTTATGCAACGTAGAACAAAGGCTTGGAACTAGAGGCGCTAATGAAATAAAGGTACGGTTGTGTATTATCTTTGAAGTTCATTGTACATGTGAAAAGGGTTAAAATATTTCTTATTGGCGATTGTTATTTTCAGGCTCACCCATGGTTCACGGGAACGGATTGGGATAAATTATATCAAATAAAGGCTGCATTTATTCCAGAAGTTAATGATGAGTTGGACACTCAAAATTTTGAGAAGTTTGAAGAGGTTAATAGGTCATCCGTTTGGTTGGCCTTTACTTACTGTCTTTATGTTAGTCTTTGTTATTCATTTATTTATGAGTATTTGTTCCTCGTGTCTGGTTATTCCAGAGTGGTAATGAGGTTCCAGCAACAGCACAATCAGGTCCATGGAGGAAGGTTAGTATACCTAAACAATTTTTTTTGAAAGCTTTTGACTATTTCAGATTTTACAATTGGAGTTTTATACTCCTGTCCCAAAATGTTGAGCCTCTACAAAAAGTCATGCCAAACTTTGACTGTTAATTTCTCTTATAATATACTCCGTTAGTCAATCATCACGAATATAACACTATCAAAATTGCATTTTTTGACTTTATACTTGAAGAGAAATTCATGGTCATAGTTTGACACAAACTCCCAAAATTACCTTCATTTTGGGACTGATGAGTAATAACCTGTGAAGCAACAAAGCAGGCCACATGACGATTTTCTCTGTGTTTGTTGACAAAGACCGATATGATTTAACCGTATATTTGTATCATCATCTAAATTTGTAACATCATCTTCATTTACATCTCCTTCCATATATCATTAGTCTCATTATCTTTATCTATGCCAAATTTGTCGCCTAGTCGTCCTTGAACTATCATATTTTACACTCCAATTTAGTTAATAGATCACGCTTAACTGTCAGCTGGTGGGATTATCTGTTCATTAGTTGATTGTAGTTCCATACTTACTGAAGTTTAAGGTGTTTCCAGGCTTATTTTCCTACTTATGTCTTTTTCTGCATTCAGATGCTTCCTTCAAAGGATGTCAACTTCATGGGTTACACATACAAGAACTACGAGATTGTGAATGAAAGTGGAGCTCCTGGAATCGGTACCTCCCTCACCCCCTTCTAAAATTTGCATCTCTTTTTCCCTTGCTAGGGGAATTTAATCCCGAAGTGTCACGTAGTACGTACATGTCTTTAATGGGTTTCTTTATTACTCTTAGCTGAATTGAAGAAGAAGAGCACTAAGCCTAAGAGACCAAGCATAAAGACCCTTTTCAGTACGATTTCTCTCCCTCTCTTCTTCGCGTACTTCAATTTCTGCATCTGCTCTGTGCAACTTACTCTACTGCATTGCCCTTTTATTTTGGCACCCGTTTGACAGTTTTTTTAAAAATGTTTATTTATTTTGACAAAAAAATCATGTTTCGGCAATTGAGGCAAACATTTCATGCAATTTCCAAAGAATAAAAGTGTTGAATGCCACAGGTGAAGATTCAGAAGCGGGTTCGACCCAATCGGCGAAGGGGAGTTTTCTTAATCTCTTGCCTCCGCCACCAGAAGTCTCAAAGTCGGGCGAATCAGAACCTCACTAACCCCTGTAACCAATTAGCATCAGGCTGGTGACTTTGACCAACCATAGGAAACCAAACATATTACATAAAGCAGCGTAAAGTACTCATCTACTGATCTTAATCATTCCTAAACCAAGAAGCTCTCTGGTAGTGGTGTGTGTAATTTAGCTACTAAGCATTAAGTACCCGAAACGAACTGCTCTCTCTCGAGTCTGCATTTTGTTGCAATGGCTCCCGTTGATCATTTTGTGCAAAAATCTGTTCGTGCGGTGCATATAAAGGTGTTCTTTGTTACTGCAGTGGTTTGTGTTTGGAGCTTTTGTAATCTGCCTTCTTACCACTGAAATGCCACATTTTATAGTGCCATAATGTATTCCAGATATATTACATTGAGTGAAGTTCCGTCTTTGCTCAAGTCCAGGGAGGTGTTGGTATTCTCCAAAGTTCACATAATTCTTGTACATCTTTTTGCATAATTTGAAGAAGAAAACAATTTAAAATATTTAAAAAATGATAGTAAGCATATGTATACTACTTTCCGTCTTATATTTTTCTTCCATTTTCAAATTTTATGATTAACGTTTTTAAATATTCGCCATAAATCATGAAAAGATTACGTTGCATTGCAATATAAAATTAATATCAATAATTTTTTTTGAAATGCTATGTACTACGTATCATATTTTTATGCTCCCGTAATAAAAGTCTATAAAAATAAAAATATTACTAATAGTTAAAGTATTGTATTGAATATCGTGAAAAGTAAAAGTAGAAGATAGATATGAGATGCAATTAAAGAATAATAATTACATGTACTTAAGGTTCAATATAGACTTTCATATATGCTAAACAAGTATTTTTAAAATAAAAAAATATGTGAGAATGTTCATGTTGACCTTAGGTCTAATACATAATTATACCAAACAATTAAAAATATAGTTGTGCTAGGTGTACACTACTTACACCATGTTTTGCATTGGTATATATTGACACAAAATATTGTGTTACACATGTATTTTACTGAAAACAGTGTACATGGTGTGTGGAGGTAACATTTTTGTTGAAAATGTTTACAACTTTACATGGGATGACCTGTGGGTGCTTCGGTACCCCATTCGTAAAATTAACGATTTCTACCTCTCCTAACCCCCGGAAAACCCTCACCCTGCCCCGACCCAAACACACCCCCACCCCCCTTCAATTGCACCATGATTTTGACTTTAGAGTCAAAACTTGACTCCAAAGTTAAAATCAACTCGTATGGTGCAATTAAAGGGGCAAGGGTGTGGGGTGTGTTCGGATCAGGGTGGAGGATTTATCGAGAGGTTAGGGATATGAACTATCAATTTTACGAACAGGACACCGAGTTGTCTCACTAAAATATGTGCATAATACTCCAGCAACGCCCCAAAACTGCAAAAGGTTGCCGTTGCTAAACGGTATATAGAAAATCAATACCTATACAAAGAGAGCAAATGAAGCTCGATCGTAGCTCGCCTGAAAACCTCTTCAAAACCCTGTCGGCGAACCCATCGGCGATCATCAAAACAGAGTCCCAAGCCAGGCAGCTGCACGCCCTGATCGTCAAGACCAGACCTTCCTCTTCCCGGCCATGTCTGCCCACCCTTCTCCTTTCCATCTACTCTAATTTCAACCTCTTACAGGAATCCCTCTCGCTCTTCCACTCCCTCCCATCTCCGGCGCCGCACAAAGCCTGGAAATCCATCGTCAAATGCTACGCCTCCAATGGCTTCTTCTTCGAATCTTTGCGTTCTTTTGTCCAGATGCTAGCTTCTGGGAAGTGCCCGGACCGGAACGTGTTCCCTTCCGTGCTTAAATCTTGCACGGGTTTGCGGGATTTGAGGCTCGGCGAGTCTGTTCATGGGTATGTTGTGAGGCGTGGGCTGGAATGCGATCTTTTTACTGCGAATGCTCTCATGAATATGTATGCCAAGTTGCAGTGCTTGGATGACCTCAACTTGTTCGATGAAATTCCACAGAGAAAGAAAATTGATGCACCTGAGAATGTTTTCCGGGGGACATTTGAATTGGCTCGTGATTCGAAGAGTATTGATCGAGAACCTAGGTTGGATCTTACTAACAGAGATGGAGAGAGGAGAGTGGGTAAATGTTTGAAAGTGGATAGTGTTAGGAAATTGTTTGAGATGATGCCGAATAGGGATATGGTTACTTGGAACACAGTCATTGGGGGTAATGTACAAGGTGGGATGCATGATGAAGCTCTAGAGATGGTTAGGGAGATGGGGAATTCCAATTTGAAGCCCAATAGTTTCACTTTGTCCAGTATCCTTCCTATCTTTGCTGAGCATGTGGACATTTTGAAAGGAAAGGAAATTCACGGTTATGCAATCAGGCATGGGTTTGATAAAGATGTGTTTATTGGGAGTAGTTTGATTGATATGTACGCGAATTGCACCCTAGTGGAAGATTCGTACCAGGTTTTCTGCTCGTTAGATGAAAAGGATGATGTTTCTTGGAATTCAATTATTTCAGGATTTGTTCAAAATGGTAGGTTTGATGAAGGGCTGAAGCTGTTCAGGGAGATGCTAGCTGCTAATCAAAGGCCTCTACCAGTTTCTTTCTCAAGTATAATGCCGGCATGTGCTCATTTGACAACACTCCATTTGGGAAAGCAACTCCATGGACACATAACTAGAACCGGATTTGTTGATAACATGTACATATCTAGCTCACTGGTGGACATGTATGCAAAATGTGGGAAAATTGAGACTGCTCGGTCGGTTTTTGATGATATGGTTGCATGTGATTCGGTCTCTTGGACATCCATGATCATGGGGTATGCACTGCAAGGACATGCACATGATGCCATCCTTTTATTTGAGAAGATGCAAATGGAAGGAGTGAAGCCTAACTCTGTCGCCTATGTAGCTGTTCTTACTGCTTGCAGCCATGCTGGTTTGATAGACGAGGGCTGGAAACATTTCACAACTATGAGCCAAAAATATGGGATTTCCCCTGGGCTCGAGCACTATGCTGCTGTTGCGGACCTATTTGGCCGAGCTGGAAGGCTAATGGAAGCGTATGAATTCATCTCTAACATGCCTATTAAGCCAACAGGGAGTGTTTGGTCCACTCTTCTGTCAGCTTGCCGGGTTCACAAGAATGTTGACCTTGCTGAAAAGGTCGCCATTGAAATGACCAAAGTCGATCCTGAAAATATGGGTCCCTACGTACTCTTGTCAAACATGTATTCTGTAGCAGGACGATGGAAAGATGCATTGAAACTTAGAATTCGTATGAAAAAGAAAGGAATGAGAAAGACACCAGCTTGCAGCTGGGTTGAGGTTAAGAACAAGGTACATGCTTTTGTCTCTGGGGACAAATCTCATCCCCAATATAATCAGATAGAAATGGCATTGAGAGAGATTTCAGAACGGTTGAAGTTAGAAGGATATGTTCCTGGGACGAGCGAGGCCTTGCATGATGTTGATGAGGAACAGAAACATGATTTGTTTTTTGCTCACAGCGAACGAATTGCCATAGCATTTGCGATTATTAACACACCAGCAGGAACAGCAATCCGGGTGACAAAGAATCTTAGGGTATGTGTGGACTGTCACACAGCCACTAAGTTCATATCCAAGGTTATGGGGAGAGAGATAATTGTTAGAGACAATAACAGATATCACCATTTCAAAGACGGGGCTTGTTCGTGTGGAGACTATTGGTGAAGACAAGTACATCTAATCACGGAGTACATTGAAATGAGAATTATGGGTATGTTTGGTTTGGTTACGGTTACTCAACCTCCCCTTCAAGAGTTCAAGAACAATTTGGGCTTTTTTTGTTCGAAACCTGGCTGGGGCTTTGACTTCAGCAGGTTGAGAAAGTATCTATGAACACGTACTACGTTATAATAGAGTCAATAGTATACAAAAATGCTGTATAACTCATATCTGGCCATCTGGGAAGCTTCAATGGAAAATAATGAAAGCTGGGAAACTCAGCATCTGAAAGTACAATGGTGCTGTAAATAAGAGATGAGGATCTTCCGCCTATGCCGCTGCTGCTTTCCATTATTGATTGGGTGGTCAAGATGATATACACAATGCAAATAAGCTTTGATTGTCTTCTGACATGTTGGGACATGAAGGTAATTCATACTGCATTCATGTTTTAATTTGATTTAAAAGGAAAAAGAAATCATCCCAAACTGCTCGAGTGGGCTATAGGGTGGAGGGGTCTTGTTTTTCAAATTTTCAATGTTGACCTTAAAAGATGTAGCATCCCACTCAGGAAGGGTGTGGCAACTAGAGTTACAAACACAAAGGTTACAAAAAATAGTGTAAATTTTATAATTGGTCTTTTATAACAGGGGGGTTTCCATATTTAGTCCTCCATTATCAAATATTACTCCTGTAGTCCTTTTTTAATGGTGCCTTTCTACAAATGGTCCTTTTTTGATCTTCTGCCATGTTGGTATTAATTTAAAAGCTAAAAGTATAATTTGACATCAACATTATTTCTAGTGACGTGTTCTCATATTGGTTAAGCGGATAACACAAAAATAATGACAATGATTGTGGGCTAGGATTCCGACTAAAGGCCACATTTGTAGACTATGGTTGTAGTAGAAAGCTACTGTAATTCACAAACGATGGAAACGGAACAGCCTTTGGAATTCTGTATGACAAAAAAGATATATTATCATTGCGAAATTGCACTTTTGGCCCTCAAACTAACACCAACATGATAGAAGATAAAAAAAGGACTATTTGTGGAAAGATACCCATAAAAGAAGGACCACTGGGGTAATATTTGATAATAGAGGACTAAATAGGGAAACCCCACTGTTATAAAGGACCAATTATAGAATTTACTCCAAAAAATATAATCTTACTATTTGTGCACCTTACCAAGCAAATTAAGAGATTTACAAAACATGAAAAGTAGAAATTTTAATACATAAATGACACGCTTATAATATATATATATATATATATATATAAATTTACCATGTAAGTCCACCACTAAGAGTCTAAAATCTATCTAACTCTACGTAGACTTAAAATAATCCATTGATTTTATATAATTAATAGATTTTAAACAATCTATCAAAATTTTTTAAAATCTGAATTGAATAGACTTGCTTAGACTCTTAGTGGTGGACTTACATGGTAAATTTCAATTACAAAGGGTTGTTTTCAAAATTCATTTTTAATTCTTCCATTACTCCTCTCTGTGGATTACATATTTTCATTGATACTTTATTAAAATAATATAGTCACGCCACATATTATTTTGTTAATTTTTTATCTACTTTCTTCGTTTTAGTATATTCGTTCAATTTGACTTTTTCGATCATATTGGACAAATTTTAATCATCAATTAATCTTAATTTGTATTGCATATTAATACAATGATGAAATCAAATTTTGAAAGTTCTTAATAAAATAAATGTAAGAAAAAATTATTTTTGTGCTAATATATATATAGTGTGTGTGTGTGTGTATAATACACTTCTTGTTTAATTGAGATCCAAAATCCATCAACTTTGACTGGAAAAAATCAATGAATACACTTGGACGGAGATATTATTATTTATGTATATACGTTTTAATTTGAAAATGAACTCTAATATTGAAATAAATATCTCAATCAGCGTAAATCACATTGGAATTACCCCGTGAGAAATCACATTGGAATTACCCCGTAAGAAATAATAGATGCAAAGCATTATTTAATTTAAAGAACGAAAAAAAAAGTCTTAGACCATAAGGTATACGGTATATCCATCCCTTTCTGTCATTTTAGATTTAAGTTTAGCGTTATGGATTGGATATGATTTAATCATTTAATAAGCCTCTTCTTCCACGGTTTTATAGTCATAATACTTTTTTCCATACTATTTATATCATTCTCTAAATAAGTTTTTAAGTTTTTTACTTTAAAAGGAAAGTAAAGTTTTTTTGGGACGAAAAGGAAAGTGAGAATATTTTTATGGCAGAAGATTCTTATGAGAGGGAGTACATTATTTTTTCAATTATATTATTTTAAGTTAAATTAGATGAGTTTTGATTAAAAATTAATTAAGTCATATTATACATATTAAAGAAAATGATATTTCCTCCGTTCCAATTTAAATTGTCTGTTTCGGTTTATGATGTTTGACTGAAGTTATTTTCAAATTGTTTTATATGAAAAATGGTGTAGAATTATAAAATAAAAGTTACATATTTAAAAATTATATCAAAATACAAAGCTAGTGGTGACATGACTATATCATTTTACCAAATAGCTAATAAAAATATGAAAAGAAAGTGAGTAAAGTTTGACCCTGTGAATAGTAAACATGCAATTTAATAAAAGAAATTGTATTAAAAAGCTACTCCTTCCGTTCCAAATTAAACTGTATTTTTACTATTCGCAGGGTCAAACTTTATTCGCTTTTTTTTTCTATTTTCATTAGCTATTTGATAAAATATTATAGTCATGTCACCACTAATTTTGTACAAATTAAAGTTTGATGTAGTTTTTCGATATGTATTTTTTTTTAATTCTACACCATTTTTTCATATAAAATGATTTGAAAATAACTTCAGTCAAACATCGTAAATTGAAACAAACAATTTAAATTAGGACGAAGGGATTATCATTTTCTTAATATGTATAATATGACTTTTAATTAATTTTTAATCAAAATTTATCTAATTTAACTAAAGAATAAAATTAAATAAATAATCTACTCTCTCTCCCTCTCATAAGAATCTTCTATCATACAAATATTCTTACTTTCCTTTTCGTTTCTCCCAAAACAAACTTTTCTTTCCTTCTAAAGTAAAGAACTTATGTAGAGAATGATATAAATGGTATGGAAAACACTATTATGAATTTATGATTATGAAACCTTGAAAGAAGAGGCTTATTAGATCACTAGTTGTCTACCCCGTGCCACGCACAGGCTTGTTTTTAGGGCTTGGTGTCGAATAGTGTTGTGGTGATGCTTGGGAATTGTAAGTTTTATCTAGTGTTTTGTGTTGTGTTTTGTAGGTGTTGATGTTAGTGGTTAGAATAGTTTTTTTTTGTAGTTTTTAACTTGGAAGAATAGAATAGTAAGGTTGGTATTTTTCGTTAAATGAATATTCATATAATACTAAGAAAATAAAACAATTTATGCAAAAGCATTAGCCATTGAATATAATAATAGATATTTTAACTTTGGTATGTGCATATACATATGTATATATGTTTTAACTACTAAATAAGATATTTTTAATGGTGGATACAATAAATAAATATATAAGAAATGGAATTTTTTTAAACTAATGCTTATGCAATTGTTTAGAAATAAATCTATATTTTTAAAATGTATTATATTTCATATAAATCTATACAATTTTAAGAATGACGCAAACATATTATATTTCATATAAAGCTATTTTTTATATGGAATAAAAGGGGAAAATGGTGTAAAAAATTATACAAAGAGTTGTCTTTTAAAAAATTTAATAATGTTTATAAAACCCTTAAAAAAGTAATTAATTAATTATAAGATATTAAAATCTATTTTAAAATGATGAAGGACATATTAATATAATAATTAGAATGTGAAAAGTATTATAATTACAAGTTTATGGTAATTAAAAGAAATAATCATGAACAACTTTTTCAATAAAAAATAAAATAATAAATGCCACGTGGACCAATAAAATGATGACACTATGCCATGTGGATAAACATCTTGCCATGTCATACGCCACGTGTCTCCACTACAAGTAATGAACTCTCCTTTACATATAATATACTAGTATTTTGACCCGTGCGATGCACGGGGTCGAACGAAACTGTTGTCGATTTTGAAATTTTTCAATGAAATATTTATTCCAAAATCAAGTAAATATATTTCTGTCACAAATTTTAATCAATGGAAAACAATGACAAAGTAGAATATAATATTTGAGAAATTGAAAGTGTACTCGAAAAAATCTTTTTTAATTCCAAATTTTTTGAAAGACTTTAGTGTACACAACATTTTTTAATCATGTCTTTTTCTTTACTCGTGAAACAGTAACATAAAGCTAACCATGAGTAAGCCTCGAATTGGTTGAAAATAATATAGCAAAGGGCAATGTTTGACATTGACTTTTGTTTATAGTCATAGCAAAACATAAGACTATTATATTGAGAATTCTATCAGATGATACCAAATTTTATTCAGGGTATGTAAACTTTTTTCTCCAACGCGATTTTTCGAAACATCAATTACATTGATAATGTTCTTTCACATCTCTTTAATGATTAATTTTTTACCATTACACAATCCATATATTTGGTCAATGTTCTTCAATAACATAATCGGTACCCCCTTTTAAAAACTATTTTATGGTTTGAATCCCCTAACATTTGATTTCATTAAGAAGAATTGAACTGTTATCTAATCGTCTTCAACAACTACATCTAAATATGTTTGGCATGAAGA